TTTCGTTCTCTTTCTCAAGTCGTATTCAGGAAAAATGCTCAGAATACTTTCTAAGATGGCGGCTGGCAGAATCAGCAACAGACAGATAGGAAATATGTACTTCCGAGGCCTAGTGTCTTTAGACAGCCAAGAATCACTGAAGACAATGGCAGAGGATTCACTTGGTAACGGCACTCAGTCGACAGCGTCTTAGAGAGTTTGGTGAATACGAATTTTGAGTACGTTCTCATCGGAGCACAAGCTTCAGCATGAACATGGAAATATAAGTACGGGGCCAGATGCTTTAGCAATAAGATTATTTTGATTGAAGTTAATGACTGTCTTTCGTTTTTATATAAGATTTCCAGCTCGTTCTTGGTGTGTTGAGCTATGATGTATATTGTCTCTATCTTAATTTGGAAAAAAAATCGTGTTTTAAATTCTTAAGTTACCCTTCGACAATGTGCCCTTTACTGTGTCAAGTCATTTGAAATACTTCCAAAAATTAATTTATATTTTATTAGTTGCAACTGAATATCAAATATAATAAGAAAGCAAGAATGCCGTTTAGTTACCTTATGTTAGATACTTTCAACTGTTTAATGGTTACGAGGCGATCGCTTCTTATTTATCGTTCTATTGTTTTGGACAAATTTGAACTTTAATCTCATATTTTTCATTGTCTGATCGAAATCCTCATAGCAACACAAAATTGAATGTTATTTGCATGACCTGGGTCGGAGTCAAACCCCTACAATAGTACAGCTATAGGCATATTTCAGTATTTCTGTCAGTGATGATGTGAATTTGCTTTAAAAATGTGTTCTTTGTATACAAATAGACTTGCTTGTTTATTCTGAAATTACTTTTTAAAGCAAATGAACAAGTGACTGTTGTTACACACAAAGACCACGAGACGTCCCTTAGCCTGTCGATAGAACAAGAACGGATTGTGTACTTACTGTCAATAACAGGTGTTAAAATCTCATCTATTTCTAAATAACCGGGAACAATCAAATCTAAAGTTTGATCAGCTTACAGTGTTGAACAATTTGACATTTCCATGTCTATTTTCCCCTATGTTACCCATATCTATTTTTACGAATCATTTCTTTTAACAGTAATGGTGTTTGTTTCTGTCAAGTTTTGGAGAAGGTGACAACTAATTTCTTTTTATTTCATGTTCCTTCTAGTAAACAAAGCTGACTATTAAAATTGTCCTGAAATCTGACGATACAGATATAGACCATAAAATATGCTATTTAGTTGTAACGAACAGCAAGAATTAAATTTCAAAGTGACACCTGACTGAACCAAATAGTTTACATTCTATAATAAGTAAATAATGTGCTCTCGAGTCAAATTAACTTTTAGAATATGTACAGATCTAGGTAAATTATTTGTATAAGTACATGAGTAAGGTTTGTGTGTTTACCCTTACAATACAGATAGCCTGTCCATTCATAATACAGATTCACGTTAAATTGGAAAATATAATCAAATCCAGCTAAACTAGGTCATGTCTAGTACGTTCAGATTGCATAATGCACTTCAACTGTACAATGAACGCATTGTTTGAGAGAAAAACGTCAAAATGTACTTTTAAGCATAATTTGATTAATCTGTTTATAAAATATTACATTAATAAAATGTGTTAATATAGCTGGCATATAAAAAGGTAAGGCAGGGTTACCATCTGGGTGTGTACAGTAACAGGTGCGTCACCAACTGAAAAAATAAATAACAAAATCGGCGGCTCTCAGCTTTGCGCTTTTCAACGAAAGCAGCGATAACGCAGTAAAGTCGATTTAACTAAACATAGGGTAGGTTTTACTACCTATATACATACTGATCCATAATCTTATAAATCTTGCTTGTCTTTGATCTAACAGCATACTTGTACAGCACGTGTGTAGCGGGTGGGAAGTTGTCGATTCTAGGTTCGGTTCTATTGCATTTTAATGCTCATCAATAGAAAAATTAACACATATCGTGCATTCACGTCACAAGGCAGAAAACGCATGTCCTAATAACTAAACCGTGATCGTCTTACATAATGAATCTGTACGAACGAAATAGACCTGTTAATATCAAACGGAATCTTCCGACCTGTTCTCCCTTCAAATCAATTTCAAAAAGTGACCGAAAGCTTAAACAAACCTACACGAGTACAAACGACACAAACTTTCGACCAACCAAATAACTTCGTCAAAGTCCATCAAGTCTGTCACGTGTCTTACCTGTCACTGACCACAACTCACATACCAAACGCCACAATACATGTACATATATGTACAAACAAAGCGCCGCGCCCGCACGAATAAATCCCGCGCGGAGCGTAAAGAAAAAAGGTTACGTCTTACGTCGTGAATTATATAAACACGGACATTATTACAAATATTTCATTCATAAATTAATATGTATGAATACATATACTATATAGTATGAATACAACATATTACAAACAATACATTCAAACATATATTATATTATATGAATACTTTTAATTGAGCAAATTATGCCTAAATAAATCGACCCTGTTACACGTTACACGTGTAAGTTATGAGGAGGAGCACAGTTAACCTTCATCTATATGAAGAGTACATAATTTATTTTCATGACAGGCAAAGTGCATGATACCAATCCTCCCCAAACTCAGAACCAAGAGCGACACACACAATCAAAGGCCAAGGAAAGATAACTCTTTACACAACTGACATAATAGGTCATTGTGTAGTAATAATGGCTTATATTTTTTATGAATAAGAACTATGTACTTATGGTAATCAATATTATATATATTGTTTCTCCAATTAAACGAAATGAATTAGAAAACTGAAATATTAAAGTTAAGCTAAATCATATGGGTTGTAAATATCAGCCAATTACGATGAAGTTAGGTAACAGTATAACGCTGATTGACTTGTATTTGTATAGATAATAACACGCTGTATTATATTATTAGGATTGTAACGGCTGATGAGGAGAATACCGTAAACCTATGAACACGCATTAACTACCAATTACTTGTTCCTAAAATACACCTGTTTACCTTTCCTGTCTATGTACCTTATTGTAAATTTGACTCCAAAATTAATGACAGAAAATTAGCACAAATAATGAGAGGGGTTTAATACAGTGATGAGTGTATGAACAACCACGTGCTTTATAACTGTTTAATCGTTAACAGGACTGTTTTGTCGGCTCCGGTACGACCCCACTCAACGATTTAGGGGCAATTTATCCAAAACACATGTGTTGAATCAGTTTAAAAGTGATAAGGATTATTCCTATGTAAATGGTCCAGTCCCGCGTAACTTAAGTGAAAACTTAACCTTGCATAATATAAATAAAATTTGTGAATGAAAATATCTAATTGACAATAATTGTGTGCGTTCGTATGGACCTTTGATGTGATGGCTATGTGTTGATCTGTGATTTTTCACAACGGCGCACATTGCCGCTCCTGCCGAACGCGCCGGTAGGTTGGATTACTGTGTACAAGATGCAGGCGAGGTAGAGATTAACAAATACAACTTTACGACTACTGTAATCCAAAGGCAGCCTTGCGAAAAATACGTTTACGTTATACTGTTTTACGACTATAAAAACAAAAAAGACTTTTTGACGCCAGCGGAAACTAGTTGAATGCAAGTTTGAAGGTTAAACATCAGAAGCACACAAATTAGAATGTAGTAAAAACATTGTGCGAGGAATATCGATAGTTTCCAGTTACTTTAATTCAGTTACATGGAATTACGTGTGAAAAACATTATTGCATTGGAATCGCGTTCATCCGGATTTTGAATTCCGGATTTCGAAAAACCGGATTCCGATAAATGGATCAAAAAACTCCTACCATTATGCTATCATTCCTTTACTAAAAATGTTCGGCTGGCGGAAGGGGTCGGACAAAAATGAGTATAACGGAGCGATGTGGAACAAAGTCATATATAACTGGGACGTTGGTGTTATTTCTGAGTTATTCCGCATAGAAAGGTAGAAAATGTCCACATCCGAGTTTGATATCATTTGGTAATAAATGTTCTTATGAATAGCGATCCTACTACCAAACCATCATAGGAAGAGTATAACACTGTTTCTCTGCTTTGTAAAACAACATATTTCATCTCATCATCAGTTTCTAAATATATAATCATTCTGTTCCTAAAATAAATAGTTCTGTTCGTGTTAAATATAGTCGTTATAAATGTAATAATGCATTGATCACATCATTTCTTGAAGTCAAATAATTGTTTGAACTCGTTCTTTACATGATGAAGGACGGTGTATAACTTAGCGGAAGTCTGTTGTTGATCGTGAGTCAATTACGTAACAGGTTTTATAAGATACACGCATGCGTATCGTAAACGTAATAAGAAACAGACAATGTTTAGGTTAAAGTCATGATTGTTTATTGAAAATAAATCAGGAACACGAATGGCCGAGCGATAATACCGACAATAAAAGTGTTATTAATGAACATTTGGATCAAACGTAGTCGTGCTATGTACCATAGAACATGATTTTATAAAGTTAATTTTATCAGCATTAAAAGTTACCGATTCTGAGTAAAAGGTTGGGTTAAAAAAGGAACCCATATTCGGGACAGCTTTTGAGTTCGTTTTATTGACATAATGTGTGAGGATGTGCCTTTCTAGATTGCTGTTAATGCGTTCCCCTCGGGTGTGCTCACTAAACACATTTCCCTCCCGAGTGTTTGCTAGAGTTCTGTAAATACTTTTCACTCCCAATTGTTCATTAGATTTCTGTAATCTCTCGTGAATGTTTATCAAAATTCTGTAAACACATTTACCTCGAGTGAATTCAATACATTTTCGTAAACACGTTCCTATAATGAATGCCCACTAGATCTCGGTAAACACGTTCCTATAAGGAATGCCCACTAGATATCGGTAGACACGTTCCTATAAGGAATGCCCACTAGATCTCGGTAGACACGTTCTCCTCGTTTGCATTCATTGAATACCTGTACACAACTTCCCTTGTGAATAACTCACAAGATTTCTGTAGACAGGTTTCCATTGCTTATGTTCACTTTTCTGTTTAAAATAAACATCCCTTGTGTATGTTCGCACGATTTCGGGATACACGTTTCCTTTGTGAATGACCACAATATTTTTTCAAAACACATTTCTCTCGCGAATGTCAACTTTATTTCTGTAAACACATTTCCCTCGTGAATTTCCACTTAATCTCTACAAAAACATTTCCCTCGTGAATGTCCACTTAATCGCTACAAACACATTTCCCTCGTGAATGTCCACTTAATCTTTACAAATATATTTTCCTCGCGAATGTCCACTTTATTTCTGTAATCACATTTCACTCGTGAATGACCACTTAATCTCTACAAACACATTTCCCTCGCGAATATTCACTAAATTTCTGTAAACACATTTCCCTCGTGTATGTTCGCTAAATCTCTATAATCACATTTCCCTCGGGTGGTTCAATAGATTTTTATAAACACGTTTACTTGGTGGTACATGACAAAAAAATCAACACATCATCACCAAAGAAGAACATTTTTATTTAAAACAGCAACATTCACATATATTTAGTATTAGAATCAAATACGTTTAGAGAAACACAGTTAATGTTCCTTAACTTTTACACAGACTATATAGTATCCTAGTGTCCTAATTTCATAATGTTCGATGTATTCGAATAAAGCTGACAATTCTTCGAGCGTAGGTAAAGGTTGTTGCACATAACAAATTGTATTCCAAATAGCAAACAAATCCAATTAACAAAACTGCATCTCATACAAATTTAGTCCAATTAAAGCCGTCTCAAACAAATCCAGTTAACAACTAGTGACATCGCTAAAGCTCTATAAAGTGACATCTCTAAAGCTCTATAGTGACTTCTCAAACAAATCCAGCTAGCAACTAGTGACATCTCTAAAGCTCCATAGTGGCATCTCAAACAAATCCAGCTAACAGCTAGTGACATCTCTCAATCTCCAAAGTGGCATCTCAATCAAATCTAGCTATCAGCTATTGTGACATGTCTAAAGCTCCATAGTGGCATCTCAAACAAATCCAGCTAACAGCTAGTTGCAGTTCTAAACCTCCATAGGGGTATCTCAAACAAATCTAGATAAAGATAAATGGCTCTTAGTCCGGTCAACGACAGATCATCTTCTTCTGAATGTAGGCCCTGAAACGTCTCATCTGGTATCGCAACATTTTAGTAAACTCCACTGGTTTCTTCTCTGTTTTAGTTTTGTCGCTGACAACTTTCTGTGAAGGAGGAACAACACAGCTCAATGGTTCCTCGGTGTCCTGAGTTTCGGACAAACAAGTGTCATTCTTTGTGATTTTTGCGTGTTTATGTTTCCTCTTTTTCCTCTTCCGTTTCTTTTCGAGATTGATGTCGCTGCCACTCGGAAGGTCAGCTAGGTCCGGGTTCCTGAGAGTCATCAGGTGCCGAATACCGGTGGTTGTCGTAAGCGCATTGGTTGGCTTGGTAACAGTCATTGGTGTCTGAAAGTGCAATGGGGTTGTATTTTCAATGAGAAATGTAATTCATTTCAAAAGGCATGAACATGTTAATAGTAGGAAAGTACATATGTATCTTGGAATGCAATACTCGTGAAAACAAGAACATAATACAACTTATATACACATTACAATAAATCTATATAATGTATAAACAATACTATGCGAATATCATATTGATTTATATTCTGAACTGTTATATAACGTCAAACCAATGTCCAATTCAAAACCTTACAATGCGACCTTACGGATGTTTCCTTTACATAAAAGAATAACCCATGATCTGAATGATACTTACTTCGGTCAGCTGACTAAATTTCTCGACAGCAGTGTGTGTGTGACTGGAGTGACCTTCACCTTCGCTGTCAAGGTCAAGCATCATGACGTCGCCATGCATGGTGATATTATTGTCAACGACGAAAGCCCCGCCTGCATTTATTTTCCCAAGGCAGTTCGTCATTTCTTTCTTGAGCTGAATATTTAACAGGTGGCAAATGAACATGATGCAAATGTAGAAGGAGTTAAAGAAACGCCCAAAGCAATGAAAGGGAAATTATGTGTGTTCCTGTATATTTACTGCTCATTCCAACTTCGTAACATGTCCTACACGGAGTGGTCAATTCTGACCATGACCTACTATATATATTTGCGTTGTTTTGTCACCAAACTTTTTTATGATTAGTAATACGTTTGATTTTTCCAATATTAACATCATCGCTAAGCTTTGACTGAATTAGACCAATACCAGTAATCGTATTACCTCGGGGTTTGGGAAGAGGTCCCGGAATTTGTACGTGTCCAGAGCGTCTGAAGGACTGTATATCGGCCTGTGGGGGTTGGGCTTCTTTCCTAGTATGCTTACTTGTGTAAGCTGTTTTACACGATTTGACATTGCTGTAGGTGTTGGAATCATCGCAGAGTCTTTTGACTGCGGATTTAGTGTAGGAGGCGTGGCCATCTGGTAATATATATAATATCCATATATCATAACAAATACATCTAATATAATGACACACTAATTTCTGAACTACAGCATTTCAGAAGAAAAGAAAACAAAACGAAAACAAACAAAAAACAGAGACGATCTATTTGCTAGCATTCTAGTTCCTGGTAAAATTTAGAATTCTACTAATTCAAAATATTTCGCGGTTTCTGTTTTGATTCGGTTATTGTGCTTATCAAGCTTTCAGAGAATTCGCTTTAAGGTAAAGTCGTGCCTGACTCCACAAGTGCAAGTACTATATAATACACATGATGATAATATCTCTTATTTGTTTCACTTTTATAGAAGACATATATCAGATACATTGATATCCATGATTTCTATTTGTCCATCTTTGTTTTAATATTTACCAGTACATGTATATACCCTTACCCTTGGTGTGAGATGATCCGAGGTATTGCCTGTGTATGCAATGCCAACATCGTCAAGGTCCCACATCAGGACATCGCCATTAGCCGTTAGGTTGTCTTCAACGCCATGGACACCATTTGTGTTCTTTCGTATTTTCCCGGTCTGTACTGGAGACTAAAATAGAAACAGCGAGTTGTGAACTGCTGTTAGATAAACGCTGAAAAGTAAGTAATGAGACTTAAAAATCTTCAGAATAGATATCTCAAAAAATATAGCAAAACAGTTATTCATCACTACCAAGTGTCTTAGTGAACCTGATCTGCCTTTTTCTTGCATTATTAGCGTCCTGAATTGACAAATCTTTACCTCGTCCAGTACTAAATGTTTTTCTTCATTGGAATCCATTTCCTATCGATTGTATATTTCTACCTGCTCCTGATTTTGGAATTTCCCGCTGATAAAACTTGTTCACGCGCGTACTTGTAGGCCGCCACAAGAACAATAGGCATCACGTGACGTCGTTATATGGCAACGTTGCTGGCGATTTCGCGGTCACATGACCATAATTGCGAGACAAAAACTAACCTAAACAGTGAGCTTGCGCTGTAGAAGCCTTATATCATTAGCAAGTTTAACACGTTCAAAATAAGAAAACGAACCTAATGTGACGGTATCAGTTATCAAATTACGCACATAATGAATTATGAAATGAAACCATACAGAAAGGGAGACAATTATTCATAGAAGGGGAGATAACGCTATTTTAATCCAAAACCATATTTAAGGAGGCTCCACCCTTTCGCAATTAGACAGCAGAATTCAATGAAAGTTTTACATAATGGTTATGTCCCTATGTAGAGATGATTTTATGAAAATCTGAGCATTCCGATAAACTGGGGATTTTTTTGGTAAAAAATACCGAAAAATTGAATGTTTGTCAAATTCAACACTTTCACATTTTTTAAGCGTGTGGCATTGTTCAAAACTATTACAACAATAAAATAATGAAAAGAAACATTGCTAATCAACCTTACAAATATTTTATTTATCATAAAATATCTACAACATGTTACAAAAAGCGTTTTTTATTGAAATTATATGGATAAAAGTTACTAAATACAAGCTAAAAGCAAACAGGACACATAGTTTCATACAAAAAGAGTGGAAAATTGAACCAAATATATTTCACATTTTACAATAATTTTGATCCTGATGAGAGTTGTCTACCTTGAAAAATAGGAACTTTTTGCAGAGGGATAGAATTTAGACAATGACAATTATTTTCTTTGCTATACCAAAAACGACGGAAATAAATCAAATTACTATATCTAATTGTCAATTAACTGTTCTTTTATGGGACAAAATTACTCTCAATCAAGTACACTTTGGACATCATTCCATAGGGTATATTAGCATGTCAGGTACATATGTAACCATAGGCTATCGCATGGTATGCCGTTATTACGTGCACCAGAGACGTATAAAGCCATATACGTCTCTGCGTGCACGCACATGCACTTGCATTTTATAGGGATCTTGATATTTTACAAACCACTATTTTCACAGAGTTTCTGTAATTGCATTTGTGAACCGATTTATCTGACGGAGCGTAACTCGCTCGACAACAAAAGTCGTAGCGACCAAGAGCTTGTGAACTACTGTCCAAAACCGCGCCTGCAGATTCTATTTAGGAACAGGGGAAAATGGCTCCAATATCTCCGCGCGAGGTGACCTTGGATGGAGCTCCTGTGAAGTTTACCAAAAGGTTGAAGTGTGTAGACTGGTTAAATTTGAAATTCACTGAAGATGATAGATTACTGAAAAATTTCCACAGCTGGTCTCTTACTGTCAGTCGCAGTTGGGAGAGCAGAGTTATCAAACTGTTGAGAAATAATAATTTGGAACATGTACTTACACCATTAAACTCGGTAAAGCAATGTGTAAAATTAGTTAAATATCATTTTACTAGTCTGGATAATGAAAAGTGGCATATAGATTTACATAATAACCGTAATTGTGATAACGGCAATAAGTTGAGAACATACAGCTTTTCAGGTATAGACAGGCGTTAGCTAAATTTCGCAGTGGTAATTTAAAGCTACGCGTTGAAACTGGTACGTATTATCGCCCTAAAATACTTTTAGAAGATAGACTTTGTACATTTTGTAAGTAAAACTGTATAGAAGACGAATGCCATTTTCTGATAGAATGTGATTTGTATTCAGATAAAAGAGCTCATCTTTTTACAACAGCAGAACAGATTGTACCCGGTTTTAACTATTTTAACACTGTACAGAAACTTCTTGTCTTAATGAATGAACCTAATTTACAATATGTCCTGGCGAGCACAGCTAGTTCATAAGATGTATCGAAGAAGAATGTGTTTTTAATATTAAGTCTTAAACTTTTTTTCTTTTTTTTTAATATCTTTGAACTGATTTTTAGTATTGATAAATTACGTCGTATTAACGAATATCTATAGTGTCTCGTAAGCCTCAGTATAGGTTGGGTGTCAATCATATATTGTTGTTCATTTTAGACCATGCTTGTATGTATGCATTTTAAGTAAAATTGACATGTGACACTTTAATAAAATAATTTGTATTGAATTGTATTGTACTGTTAGCGCGTGATACGTACAGGCGAGATCGGTAAACAAAACAAATCAGTCTGCATTCCATGCGCCGCATATACGACCTTCTTGAAGTCGTCTGATCGTATGTCAGTGTTTTCCCGTGAGTTAATTAATGTCTTTGTATCATAAGCTTTATTTCTGAAGTATGTGTGATTACACATTTCCAAGTTAAGTCTCGATATCGGGGGTTGACATATCATCGTCACGCACGTGTACTATTGTGTACCCGGTGTTACTTAAGCATTGAACTGTTTTTGTATGGTATTTATGATCTATTTGAATGACACAGCTTTGCAAGCAAACAACATAATGCGCGCTAGCGCATTATGATTTGTTTGCTTGCAAATCTGTGTCATTCAAATAGATCATAAATACCATACAAACACAGTTCAATACTTATATTTACGTTTTCTCTGCCTCTTATGTTCTTTTTAACTTATAATTTATATTCAAAATTAAAAATGCCCGCCTTATCGTCAGTCCACACAATTTCATTCAATAGTTTGAACAGCGTATTGTCGCTTGCTGATTGGCAAACAAAGTAGTACTTTGAAATATTAACAAACACTTCAATTTTATTCCACAATTCAGTATCAATACAATGTCTATAGGGTGATTTAAGTTTATCAATAGAACTCTGAGCTGAACGTTAGATTTGAAATTGTTTCGATTTTCCCCCGGAACAAATTTCGCGCATGAACAAATACAGTGAACACCGTAAATCCGACCTTGCCCTCCACGAGGGAGTTATTTTTGGAAGTTAATTCGAACTTTTCTCTTTGCTCATTTTGTGAAGAATCCAGGCGTGAATGTATTTGTTGATTGTATGGGAACCTGACAACAGTCGGTAGATTCTATAGCATCCTCGTTATTTGACATGTCGTCAGAAACTGAGGAATGGTGGATGCGAGACGCGTGAAACTGATAGCGTTTGAAATGAGTGATCTTACGACGGAGCACAGGTTCGTTACAAATGTCTGAAATGTTTATGTGTGCTGTGACTCATATCAGTAGGTCTGTAACATATGTGTCAGTAGGTCAATAGAATATGTGTATTTCAGACATTTGTAACGAACCCCTGTTGATCAGTGCAGTGTAACAGACGATATTTCTGATAAATTGCATGAGCGTTAAAATTGTTTCCATTGCCGGCATTGGTGATTTCAACCGATGTGCATTTTGTACGATATTGCAGACCTTGGTCTTGCTTTCGTTGTAATAAAAGTGCTTTTTATTTTATTTTTTATTTTGCACATTAATTTTCAATGACATTGTCAAATCTCACAATGCCCAGCGATATTTCAGCAGCCGTCATGTTTATTTATATTGGATATTGTAGTTCCGGTCAGTGTTGTATTAATACGCTAATAATTGTGTCTCGTGATGCATGGTAATTAAAGTCCCATCAACGACACAGCTTTCAAAGAGGCTATAAAGTGACAATGCCATGCAAATGTAAATATTATAATTTATACTACGGTAATGGAATGCCCGCTACGCAATACGGAAATGACGACACGAAAATACGACAAGAAAAACATGTGTATTAGGAAGGTTGGGAAGTCCTTAAGCGTATGTAGATAAATTCACTTGAGTTTGTTCTCCTTAAATTTGTAGAATATATCTGAGCATCGTTGAAACCTTTGCCATCTGTCACAGTGACACTACTACTTCAGTAACCTGCTGGTTTCGCTAGTCACTCAGTCAAAGCTGACATATACATGTACGGGGGTCGCTGACTGACTTCCTCTACCATACTGTGGAGTACTAATCGCATTTTGCTGTTATCGGTCAGCCTGTATTCAACTGATATTCAAACTGAACGCAAATCGTATCATACAAACATAATTGGATTGCAGGGTTGTAACTTATGAGTTATCATGTCTGCATGTTATTTTGTCATCATTGCCAACAACACAACATGTAACAAATATCGGTTATGGATATTCCATTTAATTGTCTCCAACACTCATCTTAGTGTGTCCAACACTCAGCTACGTGTCTTCAGCACTCACAAAGTGCCTCCAACATTCAACTAAGTGTCTTCAGCACTCAGCTACGTATCTTCAGCACTCACAAATTGCCTACAACACTCAACTAAGTGTTTTCAGCACTCAGCTACGTGTCTTCAGCACTCATAAAGTGCCTCCAACATTCAACTAAGTGTCTTCAGCACTAAGCTACGTGTCTGCATCACTCACAAATTGCCTCCAACACTCAACTTAGTGTCTTCAGCACTCAGCTACGTATCTTCAGCACTCACAAATTGCCTCCAACACTCAACTAAGTGTCTTCAGCACTCAGCTTCGTATCTTCAGCACTCACAAATTGCCTACAACATTCAACTAAGTGTCTTCAGCACTCACATAGAGCCTTTAACATTCAACTTAGTGTCACCAACACTCAGTTACGTGTCTTTAGCACTCATAAAATGTCTCCAACATTCAACTTAGTGTCTCAAACACTCAGCTACGTGTCTTCAGCACTCACAAATTGCCTCCAACATTCAACTAAGTGTCTTCAGCACTCAGCTTCGTGTCTTCAGCACTCACAAAGTGCCTCCAACATTCCACTTAGTGTCTCAAACACTCAGCTACGTGTCTTCAGCACTCACAAAGTGCCTCCGACATTCAACTTAGTGTCTTCAGCACTCATCTACGTGTCTTCAGCACTCACAAAATGCCTCAAACATTCAACTAAGTGTTTTCAGCACTCAACTAAGTGTCTTCAGCACTCAACTAAGTGACTCCAACACTAAGCTACGTTTCTCCAACAATCAACTAAGTGACTATAACACTCAACTAAGTGTCTATAACACTCAACTAAGTGACTATAACATTAATCTAAGTGGATTCAGCACTC